AACCTGCATCATTTGTTGCAGCACCAAGTAAACACATTATTCCAAAACTGGATCTGGGAGTTATATTATTCAGGGGAAGAATCAAGTATTAAGTACAACGTGCTTGTACTGTGAGAAATCACAAGTAGCTTTGGCTTCAATCATATCACTCTAAACAACACAAATTCTGTACATTTTAAATTTGTCTTTCTCTTTCCTCAATAAACAAGTCAAACAAAATGAACGCCCACAGAATCTTGAGGGTTTCAGACGGTGGTGTCATGCAGTAGCTACAGATGGTGCAACACCAATGCGCACATAAAAGCCTACTTACCCGGCCACAACAATGAAGCAGTCCAGGCGGTTCCACGTCTCAAAGAAGTAACCCGACTTGCCCCGGACCCCGAGTGCCAGGATCTTGACCACCATCTCAGCGGCAAAGAAGGCAAAGATGAAGTGGTCAAAGCCCTCCAAGACCACGCAGCGCGTGCTGGTGCACTCCTTCTCGCAGGGTTCGTACATGCCCAGGGTGATGCAGTTAAGTATGATGACGGCCATGCTGATCCGCTCAAACCACGTAAGGAAGTGAGTTAAGGATATCAATGACAAGAACAACGGTTTGAGAAAGGACTAAACAGTGTTGTATTCGAGTCCATTACAAATCCCTTCACAAATCCCTTCACAAGGCCAGTCATAAGTATCAAGGAGAACAACGACAAAAGAATGCTTTCGTAATGACTCATTTGAATAGCTCATTAATTGGCTTACCACTGAATGACTTGTGATGGACTTACGGGGACTTGTGATGGACTTGAATACAACACTGCTAAACAAAGGTGATATCTGACAGGTTACCAGTGACCTATTATTAACAAAGAATGATAATCAGCACCCTAGTGATCTGCTCAATCCAAGTGAGGAGACGCATGCAGGATGTCAGGACAAATATGCTTCGAACTGGTTTACTTGATCTTATCACTGTATTAGAGCGATATCTGATCTCTTCCAGAGTCAATCAGTGATCTACAATGATAAAATATAAAGTATGGCGTGACCCTGTGCATAAAACGTACAAGACAAATATGACACGATAACTCTTGCTCAACAGGGATGTATTGCTGACACCTTCTGGACAGAAAAACACCACGATCCAATTGTTATGGCGTCCAATTCACTGCAATGAAATAGAGGGTAAAACCCCAACAGGGACCCAAATCTGTGTTCTTGGGCACGACGCTATTTTTTGGAAATGTTTTTCCATACAAGTTCGTTTTACCTTTTAATTTCTCTGAGATACAGTAAGCCTCAATACTGTGAAGAAATGACTACACCTTGTTTCAAAGTTTCAGTCACTGCTTTTATATTCCCGTTTCAAAACACTTTATTTTGGCACTCATAACTGATTTTCTTGTATAGACTCATCCGAGAAAACATCAAAACTGCAGTAGTACTGCACTCACAGGCGCATTCATGACCTTGACACATGGTTGCATTTGGCATCTTGCAATATCCTGTTTAATGCATGCATACCACCTGTGCAAGAGCGTAGCGCCGCTGAAGTAATGGATTCTAATTCTGGTTTGCTGAATTACACCAGACGTAATTTGTACTGTACATTTGCATTTCTTTGAAACCAATATGGCAGCTGTCCATCCCTGTTTGGTTGCACATATGCGCCGCACTCTGATAAATTTGTCAGAACTGACAATAAGCTGTGCCGCTGCACGACATGTGACTGATTGACGTTGTCCATTCAAGAAACCCACTGCGGGCATTGGTGTGTACTTGGCTATTGTAAGGATTTCCCAGCTATTGCCAAGTGTCAAGGTCAGTGTTTGGCTTGTGATAATGCATGCTGAGATTGCCTACCCTTGAGTCCAGGGAAGGAGAAAAGAGGAATGTTCCTTCTAGGAATGGCAGAAGCTGACTCGTCAGGATGCCACTCTTCTCAGCAATAACCTTGGCTTTAGATTGTGCCTTCTAAAAATGCTTATGTGTAACTTGAATTGGCTATGATGTTGAATCTTGTTGCGTGATGGAACCTACCGACGCATTTGGTCATTAGCGCAGGTAGGCTGCATTGTTTGTACGGTGAAAAGACACCAGGGAGGTATTCTTTCTGCGGGTGGCTGATCTTGCATTCCAAAACAGCGTTTTGGGGACTTCAAGGCTGCACTAGCTTTCTTGCATGCTATACAAGCAAATAAAAACCATCCACGCTTGGTACAAACGGGCTCAGTGGGACCCCCCCAAAATGCAGTGAAGTGCTGCCAAGGAAATTCTCTAGAAATGAGAAGACTGCCCTTGAAGCCCTTGATCTTTTTTTCCTGCATTTTCTCAGCACCATAGAGATTAATAGGAAAATTCAACTGGAAGGGAGAGTCGCTACACACGTCATCGCCTGTAAAAAGGAAAACATGGCAGAATTGCTCATGCGTCATGGCACGACTAACTTATTCTACTAGAGTTTCAACTACCGGTTCACCGAAGGGAAAATGCATCCGACGGAAAGGACTGTCCAACTAACCAAACAAGGTTTTGGCCCAACAAAAGGAAGCACATCTTTTTCCATTCGTTTGGAAAGTCCTTGACAGCATGCGTAGGCAGTGCCTTGTTAAGAAGCGTTTCCTTGGCGTATCTTGTTTATCTTCATAATGACTTCAGTCTTCTCCCGGGAAGCATGTTTGTCTGCATATGCAAAGCTGGTGGTTAAACAAGCAATACGCATTCTCTCATATAAAGCATTTGATAAGGGAATAAATGTGTGCTTGGTTGGATAGATTTCCAGCAATTTTTTTTTCTAGAAATTTACTTTCATTTTCCGAAACATATTGCCAATATATTCCCTGTACAAGTTGTCCAGCAGAATCTGCAATTAATCATGGACTTAGTGTGCACGTGGCACGTTCTGTATGCCCCATCCCACGCAGACTCTTGACCAACAGGAAGGATCAAACTGTCTCGTATCCAGGTGCCAGAGCATTTTTTTACGCATTGGGCATTATCAGATCTCAGCGGGCATTATAAAATGTTAAAACACAGTCAGGTTGCACATTGTTGAAAGGGAAACTGTCTCAGCTATTTATAAATTCAAATTAAAGACCAGATTTCATTTAACAGCTGAATGCATAAGAGAAAAAACCTATATTCTAAAGTTTTCTTCTATTTACAACACAAACGTGCGCTTGCTTTTTGAAATTATTTTACAAAAGTTAAAACAGAGTCAAAAGCTTCAAATGCCAAAAGTATTTGGCATGTATGGAGAATGGCTCTTTATTCCAAATCTGCTGTCCATTTAAATTCTTGAGACTGTAGCAGCACACTGACTGCCCAAGTAGGGAGTGTCATCTCTCGACGCGGACAGTGGCGATGGAGATGTTTATGCAGGGCCTTTCAATTGCACTGTCGGCCATTCTGTAACCACTTGAGAAGTATGTCAGATCTTGAGGCTCCAACCTGTGTTTGGAACAGGGAGGTGTTGATTCAATGACGGGCACACTGGCAGGAATACAGCAGATGTTGCTGTCTGGAGGAGGGAAGGGTTTATGAGTGGTGGGGGGTGTACACATCCCCCCCACCCACCCACACACCATTATGAAATTGTGAATTAAAGGGGTTTTCAACACCACTGTGTATATGACCTTTCAGAGTCTGCGGTAATCAAAATGGATGAGGCTCCATCTTTCATGCAGTTCAACATTAGCATGACCATATTGACATTGCCCAAATCGATTCATCTATACCAATAAAGGACACATCTACCTGAAGTTTAAGTTGACTGCTAACAGCCTTCACTCTCGGGTCTGTTGGAACATTCCTTCATGGATATCCTTCAACCGTGTGAGAAAAACATTCTACAGTCAATGCATTTGAATTATTTTTAATGGACATCCATTTCAATCATTCAAAATCCTCCCAAAACCTCCAGGGAAATTTGGAGGATCAGAGATGGGTAAATGTTCAACTACTGTGAAAGTTAAAGTTATTCAGTTTATCCTGAGGACAACGCAAGACTTCTCTTCCTGACACTACAGCTTGCCTTATTACGGATGCTGCCTGTGTTCATGTTCAACACAATATCCCAGGCAGGCTGGCATCATCCAATTAAAATTTCATTTGAATCAGATCAGTTCTGCCACTGTAACTCCATATCACACAGGAGCACCCCCCTACATACACTTCTACTGCTGGCCTCAAATGTAAAAGATTTTTTTTCCCGTGGGGGGAGCATTATTGAGGAGTTAGCATTGTTTCTGAATACAAAGCAACGTCTTCTTTGTTTACGATTTTTTTTTACAAGAGCAGCAAGGTATTAAGATCAGATTTGATGTAGCGTAGGTTCAATACAAAATTAGCCGCTAGATAATTCTATGAGAAGTTGACACTGGACAAGATAATTGAATTCATTTTTAAAAAGTGACGCTCACATTTGATCAGGTCTTTTTTTCCATTTTCACTTTGATTTCACTGATTTCCATACCTCTCGATTAAGAATGAATCAGAAATATAAAAATCCAAGACTCCCTTTCTAATAAAGTCACACTGTTTACAAAGTCACTCCTAGTTTACGAAGCCTAGGGTCTCTGTACACATTGACTTAACAACTCAACAACCTCTTTAAGAAATCCTGGGTCCTAACTGATGGCTTCCATGCAACTGCAAGCCTCTTGTGGGGAACACTGCATTCATCTTCACTAGAGTTATGATGATTTCAATGTTTCCCCATGGACCACTCTCATTTTGCCATGTGTGATCCACTCTGTGAAAATGAGTCTTTAGTCACCAGCGCCACTTTTTGAGTTTTCATTTGTATTGGAAAAAGCAAATTGAGTTTTTTGTTTTGATGTATCACTCATTTTGGCATCCTGGTGAAAGTGGATACTCCGTGGTGAAAAATGTTGCGGGTTCCTATTGATTTACACTGTGCAAAATTATTCTAAAGGACTTTTACTCCAAAGTGGCTCTGGCAATTTACGACTCATTTTCGCAGAGTGGGTCACATTTGGTTGGTTTTCAATTTTACCTTAAATTTGTTCAGAATGGACATCCGTCCCATTGATTTTAAATACCGTTAAATTTTCATTTCGTTTTTAGTAGTACATGTATTATCGTCTGGTGTTCTGAGAGCAGCGAGGGATTTTGGACTCGCTGTGAATCATTCTTTTACTTTTGTACCGATGGTGACTATAGGTTTAGCAGCCACTTGTAGGAAAAGCACACCTGAGACATCAAAAGAGCAAGCCTATAGACTTAAACCCGTTGAAGCGGTACTACTGGCCAGGGTTGAGGGGACTGAAGAAAACAAGTCAATGAAACATTCAGCATATAACAATGACAACAGAATACCGGGAGTAACAGCTGACGAAGCAAGAGTTATCATCCAAATGCTTTGGCTTAAGCGAATCAATGGCATTTGCAAAAGGTAGCACAATGCCATGGGCCAATTTCATAGAGCTGCTTAAGCACAAAATTTGCTTAAGCGCGAAAAAACCTTGCTTGACAAATCAGGTTACCAGCCAAAACTCCACGTGATGTTTATTGGTTTGGAATGGTATTCACCTGTCTTTTGGTGAGCATGACAGTCACAAAGAATTTGAGCTGTTAACCTTTGTTTTTTAATCAAGGTTTTTTGTGCTTAAGACAATTTTTTGCTTAAGCAGCTCTATGAAATTAGCCCCTCAGAATGATCTCTTCCAATTTCTTAGAACTGCTTAAGCACAGAATTTGCTTAAGCGCAAAAAAACCTTGCTTAATAAACAAAGGTTACCAGCTCAAACTCTATGTGATTGTCATGCTAACCAAGGACAGCTAAATACCATTCCAAAACAATACACATCACAACAAGTTTTGGCTGGTAACCTGATTTGTCAAGCAAGATTGTTTCATGCTTAAACAAATTATTTGCTTAGGGGGTGCAATAAAATTGGCCCTAATTGTTGCAGTCCAAAATCCAGAATCAAGACAAATCCAAACAACTCTGCCAAATACAGTGCACAGTGAAGTGACTTCTTCTGCTTCGTGATCTCGTTGTTAGTACGATTCATTCATTTTTGTTAAATTGATTTGTTTTAATACATCTATGTAGGGGCTAAGTGAAGGCATGTTTTTCAAAGAGAGACAACTGCAATCAAATAATCTGAATTGAGGACAAATAAACATTGACAGAGAGAGGGAGACTAGCTTGTGGCTCAAGACAGGTGCTCCTGGCCAATGATTAACAACATGACTGGCTCATGTAGGAGAGGTATGCCTACATGGAGTGGGAAATAAGACTTTACACTCGATTGGCGACTCACAATGGGGTCGTGGCAACCGTCCCACGGCACATCCTCTCCAAATCGGTGAGGTTTTTTTTTTGTTTTTTTGCCTTCCGAGAAATGGCCCGGCGGTTTGATATGAAATCAAACACGACCCTCCACTAAAAAGAAGATGAAGAAGAAAAAAAAAAAAGCCTCTCACAAGGAGCCCCTTCGTGTCGGCAGTGGTTGCGCGACACCCGAGATAAGGCACGGCTGAGAAATTACATTCTTGAACTGATTTGTGTGTGATAGAGACCCACTGTGGGATGCAACGCTTAATTAAACTCTGTCCTATTGGCAGACAATACAGAAATCAAGACGATCACACCCAACTATGCTAATGCATATATGCATAACTATGTACATATTGATATTGGTCATATATCTGGATGGTAAACACATATATACACTGCAGGTCAATGTCTTGCAGTTTGGTATAAATATTAATCTTTTTTCAGATGAGAAATGTTGTATAATGACTATACATGTAGACAGATGTAAAAAAGACAAGCCTTTATGAAACAAACAGGTAAGAAGATCCGACAAATTACATGGAACTGGGGAAAAAAGGCAAACAAAAGTACTGTGTGCTGTCATCAATGATAAACTCCTGTTAAAAAAAAGCACGCTGACTTTCTGACTGAAAATATTTTCTCCAATAAGTTTTTTGCTGAACAAAAATAGATGGCTCGATTTATGTTGAATCCCTGCTGTTTGCTGTTTCCGAGAAGTGACATCTGAAGATGGCCCAGTTTCTTAAAATAGCAACATATCAGCAAAGAAGGCAATTTTGTCAGTTCTAATTTTGAGGGCGAGCTCGTGTGCTAATTAATCCTGGGCAAACCCCCCTTATATAAGAAAGTCAACATGGAGCTCTGGAGCAGACTATATATAGTTTCCAATTTCAACACAGAGATGCTTTTTAGAGTCAAAATAAAATGCTTCAACAAATATCCTGATGAGTTGTTGACATCGATAACCACTGCATGTGGACTTGAACATCTGGATACCAGACCACATAACAAAATACTGATTACAAGTAGGAACTGCACTTGCGTTGTTGCCACAAGTAACCATCACGTCTCAGATAATATGACACAAGAGAATGGTTAAGAGTAAATTTCTGCCATGTATGAGATTGTTTTTAAGATGCTCTCTTTTTCTTTTAAATTGAATGAACCTATGACAAAAACTTGCCATGCTCTTTCACTGCTGAACTGTGTGCAATAACTTCTCCTCTCAAGCCCTGCATCCAATTTGTAGCGGGAACTTGACTAGGCTACAGGCAAAGGAATTTTTCAATGACATGCTCAAAATATGCCTCTCAGCTTAAGCAAAGAAACACTTCTATTGGTGATCCAGGGAGAGGGATTTTACTTATTCACAAAGAAGACAGCGATGTCAGTTAAGGCAGAGGCTGAGACATTGCCTGCCAAATCATGGAATGTTGATAGATCTATAAATGTTTCTTTTGTATTGAGTGTGTTCTCCACTGGTAAAGTACATGTCAGATAGTCCATGAGTAACATTCTCAATTAGACAAAGTGCTGGATTAGAGGCCAAGTAATCAGTACAGAAATCTTGCATTATAATTACATGTAGGTGTTTAAAGTAACAGCAAAATTGCGTCCAGCAACTAGGAGCAAGATGGAAATTGTGAGAAAAAAACAGTCAGAAAAGTGCAACTTAATTTCATGTATCATTTTTCTGAGCCACGAACATTTGTACAAACATGTTTAATGTGAAGTTTCAATCATGTCCCCTTTAAAAACTAACTATTTTTATCCACCCCAATTTCATTGATTTGCACACAAATGTGGGGAGGGGTCTCGGGTTGAACTGTTCCAAGGAAATAAGCCAAAATGCCTTCGGGTTCTGTCGGCTTAACTGACGTCATGATGCAGTAAACACATTGACCATGATTACCATTAACTCCTGCAGGGCTGGGAACTCCCAGGTGAAATAAGTGCACATGTACCCCGGCAGGGGCAAAACAATGTGAGTCTGGTTGGGGGATGTGCTTCATAAAATGAACTTAATGAACTGAAGCATGAATTGACACTAGGCACTGTAACACAATGGTATTCATCGGACAGCGACAAACAACAAACAAATGAGCCAAAACAACTATTTCTAAAGAACAGAATGACAAATAAGCAAGCAAAGCTAACTTTCTGCTTAAAGGGTTGAGAGATAGCCCATGCATAAAATGATGAGAATAACAAATATATGATTCATTCTATTAAAATGGGCCAATTTAACAGTTACTTTGCAGACTGCCAACACATAATCAATTGTAATCTTCATGTTGAAATGTTTCAGTAGGGGGCTGCAGAGTCTGGTCACTATGGACGTTAGTGTCCGGTGTTCAAATCCAGCGGCTGGTTACATGTTGTGACCTTAGGCAAGTCATTTTAGTCCCACTTGCCTCTTTCCAACTGGAAGTATACATGGGTACATGTGAGAGCAAAGATGGTTGTTGTGTTATATCCCAGTGAGCAGGGGTATTAAGCATGTTGTGACTTGAGCTCCAGTAATGGTGGATATGCACCTGTTACCTGTTATTGTTATTATTGACAGGGTTTGGTATCTCAACATACAGGATGCACACGGGGAGATCGCATGAATCATTACCAAAAGCTCAAGAATTGTTAGTTTAATAAACATCTAAACTGGGCCAAATTATGAAAATATACCAAACGTGTGCGAAGGAAATAGACTTTGTCTCTGATGCTCTCTGTATTGTCGGCAACAACTTATGGTCAATAATAATAATGCATGTAATTACCAAGATAGCTGTGCTTATTTATATTTATTATCTGTGTACTAAAAATCATGCAAGGTACGTGATAAGACATCTCGTTCAAGAAGTAGATGCATAGATACGTACATATATCAATATTTTTATAACTGAATTAATGTCTCCACTCTCCAAATCGTCTTTTCCATGTTTATGCCATAAACAAATAAACATTTCTTTTTGTTCTCCCATCCTAATAAAAACGTCATTTCTAGGCATGCAAAACACAGATAAAATTGGACAAGACTCTACAGGGAATCCCTACTGCACAATGTGCATACAGTGATTTAGGGTACCACACATACACGCACAGACTATTTTTCTGGACACATGTACAGCAGTGCCTCAGTACAATACCTGCCAACGCATTCTGAGGTTGGTTCAATTAGAAGAGAAATGAGCCGCCCAAACAGCAGTGTGTGCGTGCATAGTTCCAAGGTTTTTAGGCTTACTAAGGCCCCTTAAGACCAAATCAGCGGACTTCTAAAGATGGCAATTTTCCATGCACTCCCTGTGGAGTGTTGAAAATTTGCCCGGCATTGTTTATGTATCATGCCTTCCGTGGATGACAGATATATTTCCTACTGGGATGCCACGAATAGACACGTCACGCCCATGCAATGCAGATGGAATACACTGCTGCCAAACCACGGAGAATTATCTGCCCAAGTTCACGGCATGGGGCGTATCGAATGTTGGCGCGAGCTCGCCAGTGCGGAAGTGACTGATGTACACAAGGACTGCCTCGTCACCCCGATGCAACATTCTGGAATTTACGGCATTTCGAGAATTTGAATGCATGATGCGGCAAGTAAACAACTGAGATAGGGAATTATGAAAGAAAAACTTGCAAAATTCAAGTGTATAATTCACCACATCCGCTTGTACATTGAACGGAAAACTAACGACTGGTATTCTCGATGTTCCTAGAAACATTTCTGAAAATAGCATGGTGTCAAAAACAACATACCATGTATCTGCTTCATTAAAATGACCAGAATGGCAAACCGCAACTAAAGTGGAATCAATCGTGACTTGTATAAGAATTCTTTTTTCATTTCCGCGGTTGACGTATTCACGCGTTATGCTTGGTTGGGTCAAAGCGCGATTGCAAGGTGGAAGAATTTGAATGGGGAAAAACACTCCAGCGGCTTCTTCGGGTAAAAAAAATCTGGCGTTGACTGACTATGAAGCAACTACAGCAAAACGAAAACAAACAACAACAACAAAATTCAAAAATACGAAACAACAAAAGTAAAAGAAAGCCAAATCCTCAGGATAAAAAGCTATTGTAAACTAAAATTAATTGACATTTTCACTATAATTGGACTCGTAATACATGCACATGTTTTGCATTTGACTGATGAAAACATGTACCATGCCTTTAACCACTATACTGAATGATGACTGATAGCTTCCTTCTTAGTATATCTCACCCTTCTGGCAATTTTCTGCTTTCAGAGCAAAGCATAAAAGTCCAGTGAACATTCATATTACAAATAAGTCGCGACATAAACATAACAAGCATTTCCTCAGTTTCATTGCATTCCACCAAGCAGTTATTGTATAGTTTGTTTGAGAACAAATACGCAGACATTCACGGTAGTAATAAATGTGCCATAAATTTTCACAGTGTGCAGAAGTTAGTGGTCAGTGGAGGTTGATGCCAATAGCGGTCAAGTGAAAGAAGAGAGTGCAGTCTGTGCGTTCTTCTGGATCCATCAAAATGCAGTTGAAATCATTTGGCAGCTCTAGGGGTAGGAGACACCGTGGGGCTTACAGCACAATTAACGATTTTTGGAGTTTGCACCAAATTAATGTTATTTTTGAAATTCTGTTGCTAAATGGAAATACTTTTCATTGGTTACTATTTTTGTAAGGTTTATATTCTGCATCAATGATACACACTGCCCGGACTTTAAAAATGACACATTAAATTTAGTCTTTGTTGGTTGGACACTGTAGTTTACTCACTGTAATATCTGGTAGGTGCACTTACCACAATCATACCAGCATAACCCCTTACAAATTGAATTTTGCGCACAGCATTCTGATATTGATGCAGTTTCTATGTTAATTAACCACACAAAAATAACTGGATTCTTTAGGCGGGTGGCTGTGGCCAGGATTATGAAATGTAGTCAGACGCAAAGTAACATTTCTTCTTTTTTTCCTCACTGCCCAGATTGGCATGAGAAGACATGAACATGATGAAGACAAGAGCCCATTGCTCATGGTCAAGTAACAAATCTATTTCCTGAAAAATGTCCACATTATTCCTAGGCTCAGCCTATTGGCTGGGCCTTGCGCCCCAGACTTGCTCCCTGCTACGCAGTGCAATTCTCCAGCGCTGCGTGCACCAAGTATTGATGTGACTGCCTTGATTACTTGTCACCTGCTTCTGGCTCATGTGCAATTCCTGACTTCAAGCACGTCCAGAAAAAAAAAATTCAATATACAGTACACACACGATACCTTAAAGGCAAATCGGCATACGCATGTGCTTATGTAAACTTATCCCCTTTCTACGTAATTCAGTACTCATGGAGTTCAGGATTCAGACGGTCAGGTGTCAAGCATTATTCTTTCCATCAGATTTTTGACAGCAAAAAAGAGAATGTAACATGGCACAAAACAAATTAGTTTCAATAAGTAATTTCAGTTGAAATTCAAGGGGAAAATGTTTCAAATAACTGTTTCCCGAGAAGAGGCAATCGCTTGGTGTCTTGGTCATCTACCATAAGATTAGAAAAACGAAAACAAAGAGGACTGCCCGTCACAGATCTATGGACAGCTCTTCTGTTTAACCCTGTGCCTTGCAACTTCAACTTTACAAAATCAATAAGGAATGACAGGGGGTAAGCTCTTTCATGCAAAATAACTTGATTTCTGTGAAAGTCATGAACTTGGCATATATCACGTTTCATGTGACTGCCTGCTTTTAGCACATCTTCCCAATCAGGCGCATCTTGACTAATTCCAGAGGACTTGGATGTATGATGACTTGGTCAAAGTTTGCCAGCTTAAACCTGATCCTTCACAGAAGCCTGGCATCTTGCATTTCAATCTCCACCATTCTTTGGATAGATGGCATTTCACTCATTAGAAATCCAAGGACAAGTCAGGCTTTAGTCATTAACTCTAAATGCTGCCCATTAAATTTTTCATCGCCACTTTTTCCCTCCATTATCCAGAGCAGTGAATACCAATAAATGATTTGTATTCATTCATTTGTGCCTTTCATGTTCAAATTTCTTAATGTATTCTTAATGTATATTTCTTAATGTATTCAAGACCTCAACCTCATCTCACGTTTCAACACATCAAAGAGCACATTAAGAATTGAATAATTCTCTATCATTTGATAAAAACCTATCCTACATCACAGTGTTGTGCACTTTAAAACAATGGTACAGCACCTGTTGTTTTTTTTAAGTAAGGCATGTGAACAGTTCTGCATAAAACAGCTAACTTCCTGCCGAATGCAGAGATGCCGACGGACATCTTGCACAAAAGTTATTGATTGGGGAGAGAATGACGAGACATTCCTTTGGCATCACGCATCAAGGGAAGCGTAGAGTCATTATTGTTGAAGCTTACTTTTGTTCAGACTTGCTTAGTACCGGGGGGGAGGGTGAGGGAGAAACCACCATCGGGCTGTAAGCATCGCTATAATTTTTGAAATTAATAATGTCTACCAATTTCCATATCAATCTAACCCCCCCACCTTCTTATGCATATTTAAGGCCTCTGCAGCATTTCTGCGTAATGAGTTGCCAACTGGAGATACAGAGGATATGGTATGTGTGATCAGTAACCTATCCAGCTTTTGGTATCGGGGGGGGGAAGGGGGGCAAATTCAAAAGCGAATGTGGTTTCAGGCTTACTTGACATGATTGGACCAAATCCTAGCCTTTATTCGGATATGCCACTACATGTGATTTTGTCAGTCCTCAGCAAATGAGATTGGACGGAGACTGAGAGAGCGAGTCGATAAGAAAGTTCCTGAAGAAAGTGCAGCAGTTTGAATCATCGTCCTTGGGTTGTTTTTGGAATCAGCTGTAAAAGGCATAACATGAATCTTGGCCTTGCTTCAGCTGTTGTCCTTGTCTGCTGATAACAGATTGCATCCTTTGCCAGGGAGGGAGGCCCAGGCCAACTGCTCCTGGGCGGAATGCTTGGAAGGTGCGTACTACTTCCTGGAGGTATGCTGGCTTCTCCTTGTCTTCCTCCTCCTTGTCTCCTGCCACTGAGGGTGGGACATTCCTTCTTGGCAGTTCACAGACAACAGCTAGCTGACACAAGCTGAAAGTGTACCACGGCGCAGCCTTGACCTTCAACTGGGCCTGGAGGTGTGGATAAGCCATTATGCCTGCACGGCATGAGGTGTGTAGAACAATCACTGTTGACAGAATTTTCCAACCAGAGACACATGTACACGTTTTAATGGGTTAAAGCATGAGTGAGCTGAGGGCAGAAGGTTCGAGTCCCATCACAGCAGTCTAAGGCAGACAGCACAAAGTACGCAAGGGCTTTTAAGCTACAACAGTTGATAATGGTCAAAATCCCAATATCAAAATAACTCTAAAGTGACAGGTACAGCATTTGTTTACACCTCAATGGTCTTTGGGATGAAAATTCATGAACACAACAACTGGCCTTCATTGGGAAGACACTTCACAAAATACAAAGTTACACATGATTGTATCAAACTTCATGTTTTACTACTACACAGACCTTATGGAAGCCAATGTTGACCATGTTCCCTGAATCTATCTTATGCAATACAATTTGTCAAACTGGGTGGTACCAGACTATTTTGGGTTCCAAGCCTCTGCACTTGTATTCGTCATCATAAATGAAATTAATCTGTGATGAAATTTTGCTCATTGATTTCATTTGTAAACTTATGTTCCCAAAATAAAAAATGTTAACCTCAATTCAATTCATACAGCCGACTTGTGAAAATTCTCTGAGTGATATTCCCTTACTCAAAGTACAATGTATATAGATTAGCTATATATTTTATTTCATGGTTACAATAATCAAAAGCGATACACCGTATATGAGGTGCACTTACACTAAATGATACATTAATCATCTGTCACACCAAGGAAGAAACTGAAAAGATCCTGTACTGACATGTACTGTGCATGTAAGTACTATAGTCAAGAAGATTGGCTGAGCACGTGTGATTCATTAGTATGGATTTTCAGCGAGGTCAGCTCATAGGCCAAAATCCGCCCGTGAAATCAAGCAGAGGTAGATGCCAGCCATAACTCGATGCTGGAAGGTGAAGAACACAAAGCCAAACTACACCAGAGCACGGTAGGGTTTTTCGGCCATTATTCATAGGGCAATGCTGAATTTCGATCCCTCTGTTATGCTAATGTTCTTGCTTTGCATTCTAGCTGTGCCAGTGGGCATACTGGCTGTATGCTCGAGCATTAAACTTGTCATCAAATGCCGCAGATGAATGTGGAAACTCATAATTACATGTGCTAGTTCTGTTCCGTGGTAATGAGCTCATTAACAAACACCGTTCAGTCGAACAGAAAATTTTTAACACCCCCTCAAAAAAAAAAAGGAAGACATTCTACGGCTGTCTACAACAGGGCATAGCGCTATTCCACCCAATGCTAAAAACAAAAACTAAAGAAAGCAAGCCGTTCTGTGTCAACAATACCATGTTTTCAGCATTCCTAAAACTGTGCTAAAAATAAACTTTCCATTCATGCCTGTAATACAAAACATGTACAGTAAAAACAAAAAAACAAACAAAAACAAAAAAAAATGTGACAAAGTCAATGAGATATGCACACAAATGTTAAAATCTACATTTACAGCTGACGGAAAGATCCGCAGCATCAATTCTCCTAAATTGCCTGCAGTGTCTTGCGAAAACACCCCTGGATGTGTTGCCGTGAATAAAAATTCACGCAGCCATGTGGGCTTTGTCTGGTGATATTTATACATAATGGATACCCATTGGTGGCACAGAAGAACATGGCAGTAAGGAGAGTCATGGATCTTCTTTGGCATTGGGGTTTGTGCCCGACTGTAACAACGGGATGGCCGAAGTAGGAAAACACATACAGCATGTCGGCCTGTGAGCCTTGAGCTGGACCAAGATAAGAGTGTAATTATTTTAGCAACAGAGGCTCCTTTGGTCGGAACCAAACTTGGCTGGTTCACCATTGACTACCGTAATAACGGGCCGTAATAACGAATGACTGAAAGTTGAATCTGAAATTTATCACTGAAAAAAATCAGCCATCTATTTTGTATTAAATCTGATCGGCATGAGCGCATTTGCTGCGGGTAAATGTTCACAATTTTTTTTCTCAGATCTAATTTCGGGATGCATCCCACACAGAATGGGGCACAGGTCCCGCAGCGGCCATCTTGTGGCTCTTGTGTCAAGTGTCTGTTGAGTGGGGGCTCTAAAGCAATTAGGAAGTCATCATTCAAGACCTGTGTTTTTATAATGCCCTTGAGAAAACTCAACTCCACCTCATCAATTGTAAGGTCAAACTAAAATCATAGGCCTGCAAGTGTGTTGTGCCCTCTACTGACATGAAAAAGACAACACCCGATGAAACAAGAATTACAAATTAAAAACAATCATAATATAATGAACTTATATAGACCCAAATAGTAGTTTGAAGTAAAAAATGTCAACTAAGTGCTTTCATAAAACGTTTCCTGTGAAATTTTGTTTAAGTATAAAAAATTTTTTTTTACCAAATTTTAAAAGAATCCATTCTGCCAACTACTGGAAAAGATGTTTCCCTTTGGTTGGTTGATTTTTTCATCAATCAATAAAGTTAATATTAACTTAATGGCATTCTCTGCAATCTCCATGACTTCTCTCCGACAGTCACAATTTGTCAACATCATTTTGCCAATGTGAAAATAAGATGAGATGAAGATGCTGAAATTAAGGCGAGTTGTGAGAAAAATTGGAGATTGAAACCACACACGGCTTCACCAGTAAATTACTCTGAGCGATTCTGGTCAGCAACGTCTGGTCTTTGCAATGGAAGAAATGGCAATTTAATGAGACCTGACATATCTTTTTATGCGTCTAAGGACCCCTTGCTGTTTGTGGTCCCACCGTCCATCCAAGCTTCGCATCACTGAGCTGTGGAGGCAGGTTTGATGATGAATGGAGTGGAAGTGACGCAGTGATTTTGTTGCTCCCCTCGTGCATTCTTGGCATGATGATGTAATGGTGAACTGGCAATGGAAAAAGTAGTTGGCCAGGAACAGGTTTCGTTTTGTGCTTGGAAGGCTGCTTGAACCAACTTAGTTCTTGACTCTTCCATAATTACTGACCACAACAATTCAGCTATGAAAGTATGAGAATGATGCTTTCACCAGTTAAACAAGCTTTATTTTGCATGGTTCAGCGAGAGCAAGAGAATTTTTGTTCCACCCAGGAACAACACCCCAGTCTGCCGATTCAACACATGGGTGCACAGCTGCATATGCATCCACCTTTGTGAGTCATTTTCATGAGAATGTGTTGAAACCGAGGGTGTACAGCAGGTGCAAGAGCGAGCCACGCAAAGTGCCATCTGGCATTTAAGGGTCGGCCTAAGTTCTCTGGTCATCAATGCCGAGGGCACACTCCTGCATGGAGTCCAAAACATGTACACTAATTTTATTATGGATATCTATTGTTTCTGTCCGCAGAAAGCAATGTAATGCAGAATGTAATGGCGGGAAGAAAAAAAAAGGCTTGGTTCTGAGGAAGTGAAGGTAGTACATACAGGCTGCACAGATGTGCCAAAGTATGTCAAAATATGGCACATGAGGGTAAGTCAATGATAAGTAACTTATTACAATATTAGTCAATTGCAGCTCTTGCTATTTCAACAGCTGCTCTGTGTTATTATTTGTTTGTTTGTTGTTCAATTGAATATTCCATATTGAAGTCATCACTCTTGAGTCAGAAATGGAGTTTGAAATGTCAAAACGGAGAAATCCAAAGTAGGCCTTTAAAGTTTGAGTTTTAGTGACACAAATTTGGTCAATGAAATTTCAGTTTGAAACTTTCACTGAACATGTCTAATATGAAGGGCATCACAAATTGTCAAAAATCTCACAACTTATCCAAATCAGCCTCAATGTCAGTTTTCAACTGCTTCTCTACTTCAAAATGTGCCCAATTCTGCCCGCTTCAGACAAACTGCATCACAAATGAGGGGGCAAGACGGCGGATATTTGCTTTGCTCTGGCCCTAATAGACTCTGCAGCCATCAGCATTCAGGGGGAGAGAAAATGCGCTGACTGACTTGAATCATTTATTACCAGCTGACCAAATATGGCAACCAATTAGAAAAGCAAAAACAGGCAAATGAAGGCAAAATACGGATAGCCTCTTACTTGAGGGCGGTGGTCATGTGTTGATTTCAAGTCATGAAATCTGAGAAGACGATACACTTCTGAGAGAAATTAATGTTCTTTTTATTTTACATGCAAACTACCACCATTCTGAAGATTAGAAAGTAAGCAATGGTGGGAGAGGCTTACAATTTTTTTGGGGGGGGTATACCTCACAGATCAGCTATGTGTGTGTCTTTCTAAATTGTAGAAGGATACCCAACAGTTTTGACCTACTTGAATTTAATTCTCTTCCAAAGCCACAAAAAACTTTGTCCAATACTTAATCGTCCCACCAAACAAAAATCACTTTACACTGAGCAGGACTTGGAAAATGTATGATTTTTTTGTCAACTTTGCTCCACGAAATATCAGACAGTACAAGGAAAATGAAAGGCACACATGTAAATTTTCAGGGGAAAAAAATTGTAGCAGGTGTTCGCTGATGAATTCGGATGTAGTTCCAAGCCAACAATCAGGTCACTTCCTGTGGCTTATATGTGAAAAATGGCCCTGTGCATCGAATGTTGACAAGATTGGCTGGACAATCTGCCCTGATCGATCTTCATGAAACTAAATGACTCATTAATATCAGAACAGATTCAGTCCAACACATCCACTTACAGCTTGCCAATCATATCTTCTTGTCTGTCAGAATATGCGAGTCAGAACATGGCCCGATTTGCAGATTTCTACAACAGGGTGCTTCTTGAAAATTTAACCAATCGCAAGGAATGCGCAGAAGACCAAAACCTGACTTCAGATATTAAAAGCCTCTTTTTTGAGCCTGAATTGGCTTAAAAAAAACCAACTACAGTATTTTTAATGAGAAGCAATAATGTTTTACATTTATATACACTGTACATACGCAGTTCCAGCAGGAGATGGGATCCCTCTGATGTGGTAATTGATGGAAGAGTTCCAAAGTAGGGCTGAGTCAAGTTGAATAATTCACTATTTGAATATTCTACCTTCAATTTGATCGAA